AAATGTTTAATTTTTTTAAGAGAGTTATGTTTGATACCTATGGAAAGAAAAGACAAATACAAACAACATTTGATCCCGTTAGAAGCTTTGAGATTTTTTTAGTCCAAAGGGATTTCAGTCCCGAAGGACTATTGCTTTCGTTGTGGCATTTTGCGTCGGACTCATAAACGTCGGTTCACTTTTCAAACTGTTGCCACAAAATGTTAGAGTCCTGCATTATATTTGAAGAAATTAAATAATGAAAAATCTGCATAAATGATTGTCTATTTCTCGCATTGTGATAAAAGAATGGTACATAGAGCCATCGAATTTTGAATGACGAAATCCTACTGCGAATATGGGCATCTGAAATCCCAAATTTGGAATTTGTTTTATTATAGATTTTATATTTTGTAAAACTTTAACGAATTTTTGATTTACAAACTCAATGCTTTAAAAGCGAGAAATGGCAACGTTATATAGAAAAAAAATACTTTTATCTCCAGCTCGCGAGACTGTGTATATCGGAAATTCTAAAGATATGCTTAATTTAACATTATTTTGCGATATTGCTCTTGAACTGAATTTTATGGTTTAAGTGCAAAGAACATGATATTTAATAAAGGTAACACTCAAAACGTTAAAAAAACGCCCCTTTGGACGTAATTTAAAATCTGAAAAATTTCAGATTTTTCTTTCTTTCTTTTTTTTTTTTTTTTTTTTTTTTGTTTTGTGTGTGTGTGTGTAATGAAATCATAATAGTTTAAGAATCCAACTTCTGGTATGTTGCGCACGTAACTTTCTGAAGTTAGGAAGTTACAGAAATTCGTAAACATTTGAAATTTATAACTAAGTTTATAGGAGGGATACAGCATATCAAGGAGCTAAAATACAAATAAAAGGGATCACTCGTTACTTATACACAAATAAAAGCTAAAAACAAATAATAGCTATCACTTGTTCCTTATAAATAATGAGTACTTTAGTATATTTTGTTCAAGGAAAATACACTTACATTAATGTAGTGGACTTAAAATGGATGTCCAATCCTTAGACCCGCTGTACTGCATGTAATGCTTTAGACAATTAGATTTCTAATTTAATTATTAATTATAGAAAATCACTCAGTGTTATTTGTCTAATGTAAAGCTTATTAGACAAGATATCATATCTGAAGGATGATTTTGTGCAATCTTTTTGGGATTAAACTGATTCGCGTTAATATTATTCAAGGGGGGACCTCAATGCATGTGAAGTCAAATCATTTTATTTCGACAGTCAATTTCGGAACAAATAATCAGTGTTCCTTGAATTTAACCACTTAACCACTTTCTGAGATGGCAAGCATGGTTTGTAATGAATCTTTCATAGAATGAAAGTGCAAGAATCTAATGTCAACATTATTCACATATTACGATGTTAATTCTAGGAAATCTATGCTTTTAAGAAAACAAATCCCATGCTGGCCATAGATTTCAATTCTTTATGAAGACGGTTTCTTTATCTTTCAAGTCACAGAAGTAGAAATGCAATTTTGTCTCAGCTAACTGTCAACCAAGGATATGGATATCTATTTCTTATGTTAGAAGAAAAAACATCATTTGCAAACATGCTTTGCCGAAATAACATCTGCTTCTCTTTCACTCATTTTATATAACGTAGATAAATTTGATACTGGAACAAAGCAGATATTTGCGTTGCTTAGTACTGCTCACCGTTGTGTCTAGGTACACTTTTGTTAAATGTTCTTGATTTACACCACACAACGTTCTGAGCTAGAAAGTGAAAGGAATAAGACAACCAAACCAGCTTTATAGGAAAAGATATTTAGATGATAAGAATATCGTATTTTTTACAGAAATATCTTCATGTCTTCATATAACCTATAAGTTCTGTAATAGATTCATGAATGAGTAGAGATTTTCTCCTTGACTCTGAGATCTTGAAATTAACTTCTACGCGACACTGGTTGACGCACGCATGGTCTTTTGTGTTGAATGAAAAGCCTAACAACCTAATTGGAGGAATGAAAAAGTGCTAAGCATTTAATCAAAACTAAACTTGAGTAGTCATAGCTCCATATATTTCCTTTCCTTAGTTGTTTTTGACAACAGTTTGTGTTTATTTTTCATTAATTGTGCAGTGTAAACTCAATGTAACAGTGTAAACTCAAAACATTATTGTGTCTGAGAACTTAAACGAAATCCGAATGCTTTTATTTAGATTTAAGTTATATTATAAAATGTTCTTAATTTAATCTTTCATTTTTGAGGATATTGTTTGAGTACGTAGATAGATAAATAGGTATAGGTACTCCAAACTAATGATTTATCTGGTAGGAAGTCAATATGCATTCTATGATTTCTTTTGATAGTATCATACCACAGTAACACATAATTACGAATAATTTAAAGGAATACTATAAAATAATGGTATAATGGATTTCATACTTTTTTCTTGATACCTCCTAATTAGTTTCAAAACGTTAGTTTACTGGAAACCCGTAGAATTTCATTTTTGGATGTCTAGTGTGAAACCAAATATAATGAAATTAAATCCTCTTTAAACACAAAAATAAAAAATAAAATATCTCTTTATTATTAAAGATTTATCATGGCCATTTATTTTTAAAATAGAAAAGAAAGCACATTTTCAGAAAATCTTTAGATTTCTTCAGTGAAGGCACAGGAATATTTGCGCGTAATATTTGTTAGACATTTAAATGAAGAGATACATACACGATTACATGGAGTCGTAAAATCTATGAACAATAAATAAGGTCAATCAAATACGATGCATGTTACGCAGACAGTAAGTAAGGATTGACTAGCAGTTTTATTTTCTATTTTATTTATTTTTATTTATTTTTTGATGAAGGAACAGATACTTAAATGGAGCCACTGCCTTTCGATGACCATACATAACGCGGTTTTTTTGCTTTCATTTAGGGAACCTCCTAAGCTTCTGAATATGCATTATCTGCTTATAAAGATGATATCTTCGATTTAATCTCCACCCTAACCTATATCGCAAGTGAAATGTACTCCTCAGAAATCACATCTCGAAAGAAAACAAATTCTTCGTTAAAAAAAAGGTATTTGTATTCAAGTGCAGTTGCCGGTTATCGCGTCTTCCAGGTCTGGCGTCTAATAGGGTGAAATTTGTTTTCACAACTGTTTGTTTATTTATTAATAATGATACTAAATGGAACAGAAAAATTTAACATGGAAAGAAACTGCGAAAACTTCATGTAGCTTTTTCATTTAAGCTTATGACATCGTCTACCTAACACATAAATTTAAATAAATATTTAATCTTAAATGCATAATTATTACATTTCCCGCATTTGTAAAAAATAAAGCCTTTTTAAATACATTAGGTAAGCAAAAGAGGATTTTTTTAGCAATCAAACGTATAATAAAAATTACGGAGAAAATCTGTAGGTCAGTGTTATATCACCTCCAGATTTTGATGCCTTACCTTTAGTATGTGCTTTTAAAAAAGTCCTGATGAAAAGTGTTTCATACTGAGGTCCACCTGCTGTTGCTGATGTTTCCCAAATTTTAGGGTTTTAAAAATTACTGAGTAAGAATATGATTGGAATTCAGACGAAAAATAAACGCATTTATCATTTTTGTCATCGAAGACTATATGTCAGAGATCCTCTCACAAGCACACAGATTTGATTATTGTTATGCGAGATGAACCAAAAAAATATGAATGGCTCTCGAAATGGTACAGATTTAATATAGCTGAAGACACTTTGGTTCTACATGATATTGGTCTTCTGTGCAATGCCTTCTTTCTCATGACAAATGCCTTTCTTTGGGAGGAGGGTGCCAAAAGCGGTTTCATTGTATATGAATTAATTAATTTTCTAATTTAACGTTTGCGTGCAGTTTTTAAATTTAAATATTCACCATTTTTAATTTTGATTTGATTTTAAAAGAAATTTATTTCTAATGCTTTAAAATTACACTGCGGTTGAAATAAAGCATATTTTATCTGGATTTCCAGGTAAGAAACTTTTCAGGAATTTTCATGTAATGTGATATAAATTACTCGTACTGCTTGGTAAATTCGGTTTTAAAAGAAGACTCTGCAGTAGTTTCAACCAAGAAGGATGTAAGGTTATTATTTAAATTAACCAATTATTATGATTTAGGTCTTTACTATAACTTCTCCTTTCCGTACTATTTCTCATCAGAATGAAAGCCAGTATTTAAATTGAGGATTGGATCTTAAGACAAAAGTATTCTGGCTTCGTGTGCACACTACATATTAGTTTTCTGTGAGCTCTGATAGTTGTAATTATTCAGCTTTGCGTTCTATCGCTGCCGAAACTTCAATTTTGATGACTTAGACCTTAGAGTCATATTTAATTAGTAATTAGAGAGCGAGCTGTGGTTGATATTCTTCCACAAGACAGTGCCGTTGTATTCTAAATTCTGTTTAAATAAAAAAGGTTACTTAAACCTTCTCGAATTTAAAATTATTTCAGACACAGCTATAATTGGCTTCACGTCTGTTAGAGTTGTTGGGTTAATTAACATTACCAGATCAAGTAAAACCCTACAAGGCAATTGAGATTATAGAATCTTTTGATCCATAGATTTAACTGACGCCAAACTAGAAATTTGTAGGATAACGGTGATACGAAGTGATATAATAAGCCTCAGTAGCATAAATAAAAGTAAGAATTAATTATTATTATTATTATTATTAAATCTGAAATTAACATTTGGTAGACAAATACGCTTCTAGTAATGCCATTCATAGATTCTGAAAATAATATAGCAAATATATATTTTATTCAATTATTTGCAAGCCATTTAATGTCCTCAAATTAACGGTGTACTATAAAATTTAGTACTCACATTCATTTTAACTGTATTACGTTGATAACAAAATAAAGATATTTAGTATTTAAAATTGCTGCACACACACGAAAAAAAAATTGAAATATCGTGGCGTATACTCTGTACAACAAAAATATACTGATAATAAAACCACCTACTTACCCTCAGGTTTCAGCAATGAAAGCAAGAAAAACTGCAGCAAAAACAGCTGGTAAACCCACAGGTTTGATACGGTTAATCCTCCGAGCTTAGATATCACGTGTAATATCCGTTGGAAGACCACTCTTACGTAGAATCAAAGTAAACAGGATTTATGTAAGGATGTATATAAAACTAAGATGACGTCCAAGGTATCTTTATTTCCTGGGCGTTATTACGGTAATATTTTCTCATTCAGTTAACAGATGGTAAAAACAATTCTTTTTATTTCCCGTGAATAACTGCATATCATTTATAAATATGTTGAGGACATAACATAACTTGACTCCCCTTGAATTACAACTTATAAATCACATTACAGTTCAGCCTTTTTAGTTTTTATATATTAATATTCCTTTCTTTGCAAATGAAAAGAACAATAAATCCAGATTTTGTGATAATGAAAAATTAAAGTTTTTTAGAACATCATATATTATACTTCACTCATTAGCCACAAAGAATTGTGCACTCACTTGAAAATATTAACCATTTACACGTATAATTCCGTAGAATCAATTCAGTGCGTTTTGGATGAAAAACAATTTAATGCGGAGTTTGCATCCGGTAATTTTTCCATATAAAAATTCTTCGTCACATCATTATTTTTTCAAAATTCCACAAAGTCACCAGCTGAAAACACAGAAAATTGCGCATTACAAGCTTTTCGATGCGTATCGAAGTATTGTGTCAGACATGTCATTCAAACCAAAAATAAAAACAGTAAAAAGAAACTGAGCGGTAGGGAAAACGTCTTACCGCTATGCTGTCTGGCTCACAACTAAAACTTCAAACCACGTGCTTTGGAAGTCAACGCGCGCTACAAACCGAATAGAAACAAGTACGTGCTGCAAAGAACACATTAAAAAAGAAAAGAAAAAAAAAAAAAAAAAGTCGACCACCCGGTCGAAACTCCTTTGATTGGAGAATCTCCTTCCACGTGACAATCAACGTAATGTATCTTTTTCTCCTCTCGTCATAGTAGCAGACTTCCCTCTGCAGGAAAATAAACGTTTTTCCTGTTTTATTTATGTATAATCGCTACTTTCATGCATTTTTTTTAAATTCATTGAAAGGTTTTGTTGCATAAATAGTAGCACAGATGTTGCAACTGAGATATAATTTTTTTAACTGTTCATGATCATGGTAGAAGGAAGATTTAATTGATCCATCTTTTCATCTTCGATGGGCTTCAGGTTTTATGCCCTTAAGTATATTTATTTGCTTACTATTTTTGCAAACTATATGTGTCAAGTTTTAATTCAATGGCAAAATGTACTAATTCCTTTTTCTTAGGGGCGGGGGTAATATTTGAAAAATAAATAAATAAAGGATTTATTTAAAAAAAAAAAAAACACCATTGAAATGATGTTTAATCACTGTGCCTTTAAGCACACTTATTTGTTGAGGGTGAAAAACTGTGAAAGTCTAATAAAATTAAAATTGAAATGGAATGATATTGTTGAGTGCATATGGGTTCGTAAAGACTCAATGCGCGCAGCTCCGATGAGAGGTTGATTAAATTGATTTTATCAAATGAAACACATCAGAGTTCTTGAACTTTCCACAAAAATACTCGGAAACTGTTTACAGTATCATAGAGTACAATCAGTAGTTACACTTCAAACTACTAACAACGTTACACACAGCGCAATGCAAAGTGCATCTAAGGAACGAAGCTAACCCGGAGAAATCTCAGTACTCCGTTTCACGCTGCGCTAAAAACTCGCATTAACAACAACTTAGGGCAGATGCTCTTTCCGTCCTTATACAGTTTTCACCCAGCCGCGGAGATATTTCTAATATTTTCTGCTTCTTGAAATTACATTAAGGCATTTGATTGTCAGGTGCAATTACAGTTAATTTATGGGACCTTCCTTATTTAGGAGCGCTTTTCATAAATTAAGCACGTACCGCCAGCGGCCGAGCGCGGTAGGATTGCTGAGCACTGGCCTGGGTTCGACTCTGGCGAATAGGCTGTCTGTATGGGCGTTTACCCCATGTGTGGGGTGGGTAGCAGGCCGGTTTCCCTTAGGGGATCCTCCGCGGGGAGTATACGGTTACAGCTAATGCAATGAATAATTACATTTATTGCATTTACTCAATTACAATACCTATTACGAAGATAAGGGACCGAACTAAAATTTTGCCAAATGGTCGCTAAGTTTGGCGATTTTTCACCAAATTTGAGACAATAATCAGTAGCGAAAACCGTTGCCAGCTTGGCGATATATCGCCAATTTAGCGAGATAGCCATTTACTCAATGTTAAATAGATTTGCCCCTGTATTTGTATTTTTCCGGCTGAACATCATCCCTCTAGAAGTTCATGTTATATTATACAGAAGAACACAATAATATCACGTAAATTTTCGCTAAAGTTATTCGTCTATGTACAAAATTCGTAACAATTTGTCTCGAGTGCTTTTCCGTAATCTAATAAACCAAACCAAACCAATCCGTAACAGTTTGTAAAATAAAAAAAAATTGTATAATAATTTTAAAATGTTAAGAATTTGTAAAATAATTTTAAAAAAACCTCGTTCCATATTGATGTTGTACTAATTTAAAGCAAACAAGAATAATAAAATGCTAAAAATCCGAAGAAGATCAACTGCTGTCTGCAGATATCAGATTACAAACTAGTACATTAAAAATATTTTTTTTTTTTATTAGTTTTTAAATTAAAATTATTTGAAAAATAAAAAATATGAAAAATCATCAAAATTAAAGAATTATTACGCAGTTTTGGCATTCAGATTATAGTGTAACACTTCAAGACTAAGTAATTATGAAAAAGTAATTGATAGAGTAAAAATTTGTTGTGATATATTTTCATTATATATTGTCAACACCTGAAGATCAAATACGTTTATTTGCTAAACAAAGGAATTGATTATTCATGCCATAGCTCTAACTTTTTAATTCTTTTTACGAAGTAAAGGAAGTACTCTGATGGAAAATTTCGGATATTGTACTTCAACGTAAATACCTTTTGACTGTTCCCGAATTCGTTCTTTTTTCCCAAAACAGATTGTAAAATGGGTTTAAAATAGATTCAGAAGAGATTTTTTTAGTAACGTCTGTACGTACGTATATATCGCGCATAACTGAGAAACAATTAGCCTTAACATATTGAAATTTTATGCATGTACCTATAAAATCTAGTTGTGCACCTCCCTTTTTTTTAATTGTGGCTCACCAGCGGCCGAGCGGTAAAACCGCTGAACACTGGTATTTCGGACCGAGGTTCGAATCCCGCGAAAGGACTGGCTGCATGGGCGTTTTCGTGGTTTTCCCCATGCGTAACGTGTATACGAGCCAGTTTTCCTTAGAAAGTCCTCCTCGAAGGCATCCCTTCCCTTAGGCAGATAGCCTTAGTGTGCTTTGCCGTATTCTCAATACACCACCACACACCTTTTTTGATTGCAACTGGCAGTACCAAACGTATATATGCCTGTATGTAACCACCCCCTTACCCGGCTTAAAAGTCCTTCCTGAGAAGTAGTTTAAAAATTCATGTTCTGGCATTTTCAGATTTAAAATATATATATATATATAATTCTCGACAAATAACAAAATCTAACTACTAGCATTGAAATGAGCTGCAGTGAGAGAGGGAATCAGTCCCTTCATGACTTTGTCGTATGACTTTTACGTAAGATAGCGCTCCTTCCCATATTGTTATACGTGTGAAAGATACCTTGCACACATCATTTGGTGAGGATCGCGTGCTGAGCCGCTACTTCCCTCGTGCTTGGCATCTCAGGTCCCCAGATCTCAATCCGTGTGATTATTGATTGTGAGGTAACCTGAAATCGCAAGTCTACCCCGATCGTCCGACTTCATTAGGGATACTAAAAGACAACATTCGACGGCAGTTTCTCACCATACCTACATATATGCTGTACAGTTCTGTTCACAAAGTTGTCCCTCGACTGCAGGTATTGAATGACGACCGACATGTTGAACATTTGTTATAAAGAACATAATAATAAATAAGAATAATAGTCTTTGTTAAAAAAAAAAAAACAGTTGTTATGCTAATTATTGCTTTCGTTATCATATGAAGCGCCATCTGTTGGCCGTTTCGGGCACTTGATTTTGCTTTCAATAAAGCCCCATTTCAAGCACGTGTGTCAGTTTTTACCTCTCTACTTATATTATTCAGTGAATTATTGAATTTTCAAATGTTAACGGACTATTGGGTCATCCGTTATGAAGTTTCCGTTATGAACTGAAGTTTTTATGACGTGCATAAGGTCAGTATCTATTTTTAGTCTAGTGTGTAGTAAAAATGCGATCTATTACGGAACTACTGGCATTGATGAATTAATCTCAAGTGCCGCAGGTGATAAAAAAATTAAGATTATAAAATTCAGATACTAAGAGGGAAAACAAAAACAAACAAACCGAAAAAAAAAAAAAAAAAAAAAAAAAAAAAAAAAAAAACTAAAAATTATTGCGACAGCGAGTACAAGTCATCAGTAATATTCTGAAGGAAGATTTGCTTGAGAGTTTATCTAATATTCATCCTTTCGTTTTACTACTGTTTCATCATGTGATACTGGCTTTAAATCAACCAACTTCTAACTTTTGCCAAATGAAGATATTGAAGTTAATGTGTTTGCAGAATTTTGCATTTTAACTGGTAACTACTTGTATTAACAACTGGACTTTGCACTTATTATTTCAAAGTTTGTTTCGGGAATGAAATAAGTCAAAAATGTTTTCTTAATGCAGATAAATATTGCTTCAGAAAGCAAATGAGAACAAGATTATTTTACATGCTAATAAAACACAACGCTGTTGCAATTTTACTGTATTAAACTGTTTAATAAAAATACATTCTATTATACAATTTATAATATTATAAATGTAACAGCGTTGTGTTGAACATAAAAAAAATACAAATAGTTACGAGATTTTAAAGTTTTCCTTATCTCTGTGCTAAAAAGCATAACTATGTCCTTTTTAAGGTGTATTTTACAAAATACTGCAACAGCTCTTTAATAAAATGCATAGAAAGTTGAAATCGCATCACCTCTTCAAAATTCTATTACGTAATATTATCGATGCATCGGTTTTCTCAAACAAAAGAACCAACGGCACGTTGCTTGAAACACATTAGGAGTTGGTAAAGACCAGACATAAACAACCTTTAAAACAAATTATTCCCTTAAGTGTAGTTAGATATAATCTCATTTAATTATGTCACATCACTTCTGACAAGAAAGCGATACGAAAAAACTTGAAATTTTGACCTTGGTTAGAGAGTAGCTGAGAGAGAGGAAGACAAGAGAAGTTCACGTAAGCGAGTGAACAAAATGCGCGGGAATCGTCCCTCGTTGCTCTTTGTCTTGTTTCGCTTTCTATTGGTTCGCTACGCTTCTGTTCTTCTGGGTTCTACAACTTCGGTTATTGTTGATCTTAATCACAAAAGATCATAACAATGGAGACGGTTCTAGAAGACTATAAATTAAAAGGTAAAGAAAGGTCTGTCACTATATGATGAAGTGGCACTGGTTAAAGCACTTCATCCTGCATGTTACTTAATCCATATTTACCTGATGTACAGATATTTCATCTTAATATTTGTATATTGTTTCTTGAATTTCGCTTCATGTAATAATGCTATAACGAAAAACCTATATTAAACATAATTGAAAACAAACAATTTCATTTCTTATAGTCTCGGTTTTAATTTTTTGTCCGTATCACTTTTTAAATAAAAAGATGCTGCCACCAAATGTTATCGCCATGCATTATTTTTAAAGAAAAAATATAGCGAATATATACAAAATGAATAGCATAATTTAATATTCTATTGG